GGGGACGGGCGATACCGGATAGGACACACCGGACGCTTCAACCGTAAATCCCATTGGCTATCGGCTCCCCCTTCACACAAAATCACGGTGAACAGTCACCGGGCCAACTCTCTCACTCCACTCTCTCTCTCTCTCTCTCTCTCTCTCTCTCTCTCTCTCACACACACACACACCCCACACAGACGCACACGTCACCGGAAAGTCTTTGATTCTGCGGTCGAGCGTTTCTTCCTGTGCACCCCCAGGCCCCACCTCCTGTCCCCGCCCCCAACGGCAGTGTGGCTGGTGCTGGTGGATTATCATTTGCACACACACACACACACACCAACACGAGCGCACGAGTTCGCCGAACCGAAGCGGCAGAATTTCACACGATCAGAACGAGGAAAAAAAGTTAGCGCTTTGATCGGTTCGATTCTCCCCTCTATACTCCCGCACCTCGCCGCCCCCGCCGCCCCCATGGTGGCCGCCGCGGGGTCCCCGGTCACCACGCCCCTCTCTCTCTCTCCGCCACATTGGGGCAATCTCGATCACTCAGGGCCGGCCGCGGCGGCCGTGGACATGCAGGTCGGCGTTGTAGAGGGGCGGGCACGGCGGGCACCGCGCGGTCCGTGTATTATTCGAGCACATCGAGGTGGAGGAGGAGGAGGATGCAGGGAGAGGAGAGTGCCCGTGTGTGTGTGTGTGGCATGCACATATGCGGGCGATTGAACAATCCCCCCGCACCGCACCGAGGCTTTGCCAGTGGCATTACACCTACATCTATGGACACAATAGGTGAGGGTGGGCGCGGCGGGGAGGGAGGGTCCGGGGCGGGGCCCGGGCCGCTGGCAGAGCCCGAATCGGGACATAAATAATCATTTTTAAACGGAGTTTTATGATTGGCGACTGCACGCCGGGGTTGCGCGCTATTCGCACGTGACCCGACCCCGTAACGTGCCGCGATTTCAAAACATCCAGAGTTGCAGGGTTGCAGGTGGCAGCGGGTTGATAAATGCGTGGCGTTGTGCGTCTAGTTCACCCCCACGGCCCCGGCCCGAGTGCGTGCGGTTGCGAGCGGACTATACCGGCCGCGGGGTAGCGCCGAGGTGCCGGCCGCCGCCGCTAGGTGTCGCTACCCCCGGGCCGGGCGGTGGCGCCGCCACGCGGCCGCGCGCCCAAGCTGCCCCGGGCGAGTGAATCACGCACTGCATGAGCAGGACGACGCCGCGCAGGAGGCGACGGCGGCGCCAGGGGCCACCGGGATGGGGGCCGATTCAGGGGAAATTTCAGTGATTCGACTCTCACTTTTACACACTTTCACGCGCACACACACTTGTTCGCCCCGCGACGCGCACGCCGGTGGCGACAGCGCATTACACACCGTAAGGACGAGGTACACGAAGGAGACGAGAGCGACACCACTACGTACTGCCTCTCCTCGACAAAGTCAGACAAGTCGGAATAAAATTCAAGTCACAACCCCCATTCAGACACACAGAGGAATGTCAGCTGCCACGGCGCACACGGGGCATCGCGATTCTCATTGCACCACCTCCGGCGTCGCGCACCCTGGGCGAGCCCCACACCATCGTGTCCGCGCACAACACCGGTCAAGTCGAGCGGTTCGTAATCAAGTTCTACCTGAAGTTAAAACGGCGGAGGGGAGGTTCACTGCGAGGTGCATGAGGGCCTTAACAGAGTGCGTGGCGCCACAGACTTTGTTTGCATGCTGAAGTCTGCAAATCTCGCGAGGGTGATAAGTAAGAGACGGTGCGATGAAGCGTCACCGGTGAACCCAATAACGAAAGCATGCTACACGTTCTGATTCCTTAACACTTTCTGCACACAGCACTAACTACGGTAGACTAGACTAACCAATCCATCACCAACAAATACAAGCACCCAGCACCAAAACCAAACCAAAAGAAAAACACACTACAGAGACTTAATTTTAAAGAATAAGATCATTGCATATTCTACTGCGCTTAACTTTTGGGAGCTTAAGGCCACAATCGTAAAAGAATCAAATAAGAGAGTGAATGAGACATGGTACACGGTGCGCCGTAGCGCGCACCGTTAGCGCAGGTACTTTACCTTTCATGAACTCAACACACACAGACAGGGTGGCGCGTCGACGGGCACCTCCTCCTGGGGGTGCCTCCGCAGCGCCGGGTAAGTGACTTTCTCCGGGTAGCAACTCCGGGTAGTGTTACCCCACTGTCCGCACTAACACCAACACCATGCATGCACACACAACCACACAGCAGCAGCGACACCACCACCACACCAGAGTTCACCACGCACCGAACGAACCGAGCTCCCAGCGCAGTTCAGTTCTTTCAGCCCAGCGCATGATCTTGGTCCAGGACTCAGAGCTCACGCGTCCGTCCGCACGTTCGTTCTGGGGACGGGTCGGGTCCTCGTGCGCACCTGGCTCGCTCGTGCACGGTGCGCTCTCCACGGCAGCCTCGGAGCAACTGCCGCCCGCCCCGCCGCCCCGGGCCCGGGCCC